GCTCCGCATCTGTCCCGCAGGTGTCCTGCAAGTATGCTCGGAAACGCTGTCCGTTGAAAACGGACTCAATCTCTTGTTTAAGAGAGGCTTCAGATCGGATTTGTATTGTCCATGCGTCATATGCAGAAGTTTCCTCCTCCCTGCAAAACTCCAGAAACTTGACTGCCATGCGCCTGGAACGCATCATATCTACCCTCACGATTGAGAGGGTCTGGGATAAGATGTATGCATTTGTCTCAGGCACTTCTACCCCACAGAGGCGTCTAAAGACATGCCTTCGTAGCTCCGACTCAATTTGCTTTGCCAGATCAGCATCCGATAGTTTTGCCCAGGCGCTGTAACGCCCAAGTTGACGGCAATGTTTCCGGAAGGCTTCTTGAATGCGAGCACCGGGGAAATCGGCTTTCAGGAGTGAAAGAAGTTGTGACATATCCGCTTTCAGGAGTGAAAGAAGTATGTCAGCTGACAAATCCTCTCCGGCAGTTTCCCTGCAGTATTCTCGGAAACGCCTTCCATGGAGTTCGCGCTCAACTCTCATTCCAAGAGTGGGCTCAGGCAAAGTTTCCCACGCATGATATTCACCAACTTGCTTCCGGCAAAACTCCAGAAACTTGACTGCAATGCAAGTGGAACACATCATATCCTCTTTCACAGACTCCAGGAGCTTCGTCTCCACTTCTTGTTTTCGAAGGAGACCCTCATAATGCTTCGGGGTAAAAAAATAAATGGAGTGCTTAACTGTAAGGGGTGCACTTTCCAACTCTGACTCTATCTGTATTTTGAGATCCGCATCCGATAGTTTCCTCCAGGTGCTGTAGAGGCCACGCTGGCGGCAATGTGCTAAGAAGAAATGCTCAAGAACAAATTCATGTGGATCTTGCTCCTTCAACCGTTCGAATGTCCACCAATAAGTTTTTCTCCAAGAATCTTTCTCAAGATGCTCGAACTCAGAAAACCACTTCTTGTCGCTTGACAGGACAATGTTCAAGCTACCAGCTTCCCTTCCATAAAGAACACTCAGAAGACAATCCGTAGCATTGTCGGCTTGAGTTGTTGTCTCCTTGACATGAATCCAACCTTCCGGAAGTCCAGTTTCCAGCAGCTTCATTTTCGCTTGCTTAACATCCAAGGACAGTCTTACAACCTTGTAGACGTTGATCTTCTTGAAGTGTTCATACACAACCTTCAACCAGGATACGACAGGCTCCTTCAGGAATGGCTGGTGACATTGAAAGACTGGGTGGCAAAGGGAGTATGGGAAATCCAGGGATAAGTGAGGGTATATCATATCTCATCAGCACTTACAAATTTGAGACTCATTGATGTTGGCTGACAGCTAGGACCAATATACAGAATTCTAGTGCTCAGTGCTAAAGCAACACTTACTAAGTAGAAATGGGACCACCCGCTGGTCCCATTCGTACGGGCCCTCCATGGCAGGGGTCGGGCCCGGGCCTTTTTTTTTTCCGGGGTCCGGACCGTCTGGAAGTCGTTTGAGGGCCCGGATTCTGAAACATGAACAATCCCTTGGATGTTTCTGCAGACTCACTCCATCCCCCCTCCCTAAACGTCCTAAACTGCTGGATCCAGGTCTCCATCATCATACTCCCTAAACTGGAATCTCTGGATCTAGGTCTTCGTCAGCCTGTTCCAGCCCAATCCCCTGAGTGATAGACAAAATCAACCTTCTGGACACCCGAAGCAACCATGCCAATAATTAGAAATAACGCTCGTATGAGAGTCGAGTCCCCAAATAGATAGACACAGTTTCCAACTTTCCAACACATTCTTAGGGGCATCTACTTTTCTCATCAACACATATCAAACTGTGGAACAACAAAAACACCATCAACACATATCCAACTGTTTGGGAACCAAACAACGCCCCCATCATGATGTTGAATGCTTCTTCCCGATGGGTTCTTCCCCCCCCTCGGTGGCACGCGTGCGCTCCTTTGGCATCGCATCCCCGTTGATGAAGACGGTCAACGTCCCGGACGGTGTCGCTTCAGCTGGCGATGTGAAACGACGACCTGAACGGAAGGGCTTGGCCGGTCGAGGCTTCCAGGTCCCATGGTTTGGTGGAGTCATTTCGGGTGGAGTCATCAACACAACAGAGCAAAACAGGATACCGTCCGTTCATGTTGTAAAAAGAACTTGTACAACAGTGGTATATGAACCGAGAACAGTTGTCATAAAGTGGCAAACTCTCAACTAGGAGGAACTGCTCATTTCATGTGAGCCCAGATTTGCCGCAGCTGACAGTGCAAAGTGCTGTTCCGAGCAAATGTTGCTTTTTTGTGCTCCCCTCCGGACTGGTTGCAGGGTTGCAAAAACATTTGATCCACCGAGGTTGTAGTACGTGAGGCAGGTCTAATTTAGCTGGTTCATTCACATATCTATACATAATATCTCATCTTGAACGATGAAGGCCAAGGTACCATGCACCCAAAGCCAGGAAGACCCTGTGCTGTGCAGGCTGTGCCAATCTTCAGCTCTGCATCCCAAAGGCAGCGCACCAGCATGACGCAGAAAGGCGTATGGCGCATGGCGACCGGAGGTTAGGCGGCATAGCATGCGAAGAGCCATGGCAACGTGAGCGTGGCAACGAGAGAAATCCTTAAAGCGCCACTTATTTTTGTGCATGCCTACATATCCTGGACACTTTTGAAAGTGCAAGGTCCTTACTGTGCCAAGGGTTTTAAGCAATCTGATAACATGTTGCTTCTGTTGTCTGTTAATTTTTGGATAAGATTCTCACAATCTCTAATAGTCCGATGCAGACTCTTGTGTGTGAGCTTTCAAGACAGCAAGAAACGCTTCCATGGCCTTCCATGGCCTTCTCACAAGTGTGAGGCTTTCTTGGAATTTTCCTCATGTCGGACATGCCACAATCCCTATGATCGGAACGCCAACAAAAAGCAACTATCATCGCACCGAAGCGAAGAAGCCGAGAAGCCAGTCTCGTCGGAGGTCCTGCCACTCTCCCGCAACTCCCCCCCGCCCCCTCACGTAATCACCACCACGCGAAACCGTCCACCGTCCAAGGTGATGTTCTTCCTGCCTCGTGCAAGGGGTATGGAAGTCCTTCCAACTTCTGAAGTGAAGTCTCCCATTGCAAGACCTGCTTCCGAAACTGGTCGCCTCGGCGTGGACCGGAGGGGTGGGGAGCGGTGCCGAAGTCTGGTTTAGACGGCTGGGGGTGGGGTGTTGGGGGGAAGTCGGTCTGTGCCCAGTGAAGCTGAAAATATGGGACAGGAGCCCTGTGGTATATCTAAGTTGTAATACGTATACTATACGTATGTCTCACAGGTGTGGTCGAGAAGTATTGGAACAGCAAAGCAAAGCTACTGTTGATAGTAATATGCCACCTTCAACATGAACAACTAAATAACCCTAAGGCTCCAAGCTACATCCTCAAAAGGGGGAGACTGATCCCTCGAGGTAGTTGAAGCCTATACCTTGGATCTATCCTTGACATCCAGGGCCCAGTGGGTTATGGATACTAAAGGCCTTGTTCAAAAATCGTGATTTGCTTGTTTACTGACTCCTCCAAGACCCAACCAAAACATTTGATTAATTCCAACCTTTACCAACCCTTAAGGGAACCCTACAAGAACGCGCGAAACCCTTGCACACCTGAAATCAGTGAGTCATCTCGACAGGGCGAGGGAAAAATGATTAGCAAAAAAAACATAAACTCCCAGCTTCTTCAAAGTGACCTTTTGAAGCTAGTGACCCTTAGGAGGCTTAAGTGACCGAACCAACCAGGTTATCAAGTACGGTCACTTTGAAGAACCAGGTCAAAGTGATAAAAAGATCTGCCAAAACCAAGTCATGGATTCCAAATGATGTCAATCACCTGAGAATACCTGCTGGAACTCCAGCTGGAGTTTGTACTAGAAAGCTTCGAAATGGCAGGGCTTGCAGTTTTTCTGCTTGGAAGCCGAAATGATCCGGAGGGTTTATCGGTTCCTCCCAGACGCTCAAGGGCCCTCATATGGAGGGGTCGTACCCTCATATGGAGGGGTCCGGACCCGAACCAATCCCTATGGTTTTGAGGGACCAGTCGGGCTGTTTTCACGGAGCGTCTGGGTTGACCGGTGGGACTTCCGGAGGGGTTTAATCGGCTTCCTGGATGCAAAGCATCCAGCATCCTGGTTCTCCTGGTTCTTCAGTTCGTGACCGGTGACCGTACGTATCACGTTGGTTCGGTTGACCGAACAAGCCGAACCTGGACTCGGGTCACTTATTAGGAACCTTCAAAAGGTCACGAAGTGAAGAAGCTGGATGAGAGTTCAGTGTCACACAAAGGGCAGTGACCAGCCCGAGGGGCCGACTCTACAAGATAAAGAGCAGGTGAGAGCAGGTGCGCACCCTTTCCACTGCAGCGCTGCAAGGTCGAAATCCCGTGCGGTATGGAGTGGTCCATGAACTAAAGATCAGTCTCCCGCACGATGCGATGCTGGTGGACTCGTGGTCGTCCACGAGTCCTGTTTGGTTGAAGGGCCATAACATGTCATCGCCCAAACCATCAGGGTTTTGTGTGTGAGAACTCAGAGAGAAACCATCTTCTAGGCTTACCTGGAGTGTGAGAGATGATCACCCAAGCTAGGGATTTCAACGCCCTGAAAAGATCATGAAAGTGGTTCATGTTCGCAGGTCCACCACAATAACCCCTGGGATCTTGCTCTCACCGCCATCCCTCAAACCCCGCACAAGTCGTCATCTAGACAAACCCATCGAGCGGCTCACTTTCATCATCAATGCCTCGTCAGAATAGCTCATCACAGCCTGCCGAGCGTTCAAATTGCGACAGAAAGGAGACGCTTTCAGCGTCTCCTTGCTGCAGCCGTGTGGTGGGAGTGGCATGTCGGGGGTCTCGATGTTGGATGCTTTGTAAAAAAAACATTTAAAAAAAAAACACACACTGGCATCAGGACTCATCCGATCAGGACTGACCCCTGAAATCAATCCACCACTCCTGGCCCCCCCCCCCCCAGGGGGGGCCATGCCAATCCCATGGGGTCTTTGGGAATGGCAAACCAAGTGTGGTCTCACCATTCCCATGGTTGATGAAGAGAGCTGCAAAGAACAAAGGCCCTTGTCGCTCGCTCGCTCGCTCGCTCACCGACCCGCAGGTCTCCAACGATGTTTTGGACGATGCTTTTCGAAGATCGAGAATCAAAGTCGTCAACTATCCCTAGGGATCCAGTCGTACCGAACCTCAGGTACGGTGAGGACGGAGACTATTGATGTAGGTGCCAGGAGGGTCCAGTCGTACCTTCTGAGAAGGTACGACTGGATCCCTAGGGCATTTGAAGAACAAACAAAACATCATTTTGGCCTCCAACGTCCTCTAAACGTTGTTTTTGTGGTTCTGACATGTTCGATGGAGTTTTGCTATGCCCCAAGTTCGATGAAATTCGTAGGACTTCCTCCTTGCCTTCGTGGACATCTGGACCAACCGAAGCTTTGCGCAACTAACCCGTCGTCCGCATCCGAGGTCTGCCGGGTCCCATCGTTCAGGTTGGGCAGTCAGGGCCAAGGGGGGTCAAAAGATGGGGCGACCTTCTCAGAGTGCTGAGCATGGGGCGACCCGTTAGAGTCTTAAGGAGTCCCTGCCAAGGTATAGTCCCCTGCAACTCAGGATTCTTCGGAACATCAACCCTGACCTGTCGGTCCAGTCTTCTGGTCCTGAAAACCACCTTGATTAGTGTTGTTGTATCCACCAACTCCAGTATAATGAGGTCTTTGGTCTTGACTTGTTCGGATAGCCGATAGCCCGCTCAGCGTCCAAATCATGACACATGACCCCGTGTGACCCCTCAGAAACTGTAACAGCATACTCCACGACTTCCTCCAGGCCCACATCTGGAATGCCTCTGAGAGGCTGACTGGTGCATTTAGGGAACGGGTGGCGTCAGCCCTCCGCAACTTCCCCACGCACGACCGAAACCCATCGCCCTATCGCGCGTCACGCATTGGCTCGCGTCATTCTCCGAATGTGTCGAAGCACATTCCTTACACCTCCAGCAGGTTTGGTAGGACTCGACCCGACGTTTTGGCACCCACTTCACCCATTCTCAGGTTCAGCATCATCCAGCCTTCACGCCATTCATCCGTAAGTCCTGGCCGTTCCCGGCGGCGCCATCGACCGACCATTCTCTGGAAGTACCTACTCACCTCCAAGACCCATCCGAAAAGGAGGTACCTGGACCCTATGGGGAAGCAAACATGCCCAGCTTCTTCGTATGAAAATGGTAGATGCCTTGCCCTCAGAAAGCATCATCGCTGGGGATTGGGCTTTCTTTGTTAACGAAGCCATGCAAAGCCCTTCTGATCCTTCACTTGATGCCAACATTTGGATCTGTGGCCCCAGGTTCAAAGGCACAAATGGCACCAGAAGTGGTCTCCATTGAAATCACATGATACAGCTGGGTTAGGTTCAAGTTGCAGGCACCTATGCCCTTCCAACATTGCCCCACCATCGCCTCATCAAAGGTCAGAAGGGTTATCGATTGAACCACAGCTCTCAAAATGGAGCCACCACGTGGAAAAGCCCATGAAAGGACTGGAACTGCAGGACATCTCTCACACAAACACAGAAACCCACCTCCTCATCAAAAACATGTCAAAACCACCACCGAAACGGCACGAGCCCACCACCGGTTTTCAAGTCTAGGGGCGCGATAGGCGCTCGCGTCCGACACCGTCGCCTCTCCGGGCCCGAAAAGCTCCCGGGCCTGGAAAATGGGCCCCAAGGTTTCATCACTCTCGAAGCCTTCCAGCAAATGCTCGAAGCTCTGGCTGCCTCGGCCGAGGGGCTGGGGCCAATTGCTAGTAGGTTGGAGGCCATGGCTCTTAGGTTGGAGGCCATCCCTTCTAGGTTGGAGGCCATCGCTGTTAGGTTGGAGGCCATCGGCCATCGGTATATGTCGACACACAAGGATGCTGTCGGAACCGACTGACTTGACAGTTCGACAGTCCACTGGGGGTATTTTTGAAAAAATGGCTTTGCAGCTGCGGAGCGATGCGCGTTCATCTGATAGTGCTCAGCCTCGGGAATACCCCAGAGTCTCAGGGGGTAGCAATGGGCTGGGAAGCAAATCAGCATTGTATAGTACTTGAGAGAAAAAACGAACGAAGGAACCGTTCAAACATTACTGATATGTTTCTATTTGTCTTCTAAATCTGAAAAGCTGGAAAGAAGAGAACTTGGTCACCACAAACGCATACGTATGGCTAAATGCTTTCAGTTATGATGACTTCCAGGTCACAAAAGTGTCTTTTCAGCCTCAAATCCCAAATAATCAATAATCCCAAATTGATGATTTCCCACATCATCCCTCAAATCCCAATCAGTTATGATAACATTACCTCAGTCATCCTCAAATCCCATATTCCATCACTCCCCCGCTCTCTCCCCGGTCTCTCAACACACGTTCCGCCTCATCCCCGTCGGAGAGGAGCCCGTCACCGTTGTACGGCTCCAAGAACCGGGTCCGTCAGCTGATGGTGGAAGTGACGTCAGCAAATGTTGGTAGACACTAGATATAGAGAGATCAATAAGGACACCCTAGAGATTTGATTCATCAACAGTCTATATACATGACTTAGCAAATGTCATGATGTAATTTGGATGCCCTTTAAGCTTTCAGGGATGACCACCGGCAAACTCCCAAGCAGTAAGTTGGCAAAGAACTTTGCCCGGTGCTTTCCAAATGTTTTAAGGGTCAAATCTTCCATCGTTACATGGATTGAAGAAGGCCCTGACAGGAAAAAAAACATGTCTTTCCCACACCTCGCCTCCTACTCCGTCGTTTTGTTTTGTCCGTTTTTGCGAGTGGCTACGGCGTGCAGTTGCAGCCATCCCTGCAAGGCTTCGGGATTCCGTGCCACGCCCTGCAGGGAGTGCGCCTGCCGACGTAGACAAAGGAGCGCAAATCGCGCGGACGTCCGATCAGTGAGGCAGGTTGGGGGGGGGGTAAACCTGTTGAAAGGTGTTCACTAGCGATCCAAGGATCTTCTAAGGTACGGTGATGTGTTCGACCGAGACATGTACCTGGACCCGACTTCAAGTACCTTAGAAAATGGGACATGACCCCATAAAAACAGGTACTTGCACCCATGTTCCGAGGTACTTTGGGACTCCAGGTAGGTGCCCAAGCGTCGGATCCAGTCGTACCGAACCTGAGGTTCGGTACGGAGCCCGAACGGCTAGTGATCTAGCCAGGCGATGTGCGCAGAAACTCGGATCAATTCAGTCGAACATTTCCATCATCTCCCAACACTTCACTCAAAATACTCAAACACCGAGTCACCAAGCCGAACTCAAGCAGCCAAGTCGAGCAGTCTCTCACCTCAGGACGTCCTAGCATGGTTCCCACTCCTTCCAATGCCTTCCACAGTTCCCTGCGGCCAATCTCCCCGACCGCCCTTCACCGCGGAAGCTCCGCGCCGTCTCGGGGGAGCGCTCCACGAAGTGCTTGAGCTCCGTCCAGGTGTCGTCGTCCAACTCCTTGAGCCTCCGAAGCTCCAGCGCGCTGCCGTCGCCTGGTCTGGCGCAGAGTCGCGGCGGTTTCCGCAGCAGAAGGAGCGGTTGGGTCCCGAGCGAGCGAAGATGCACCGTGGGAAGAGGAGGGCGTCGGGTTGAAAACGCGCGCCGCGCGTCGGCTTCGCGTGCTCTGGAGGTTGTTTTAAAAACCATTTAAATGAAGGCGGATGAGGTGTTCTGAAAGGGTCCTTGCATCTGTCAAGGGGCTGTTCCGTTTCATCATGTGTGCAAGTCAACTTCGTTGGTACATTCACTCCAGGCTTAATTTGTACATATTATCTTGCAGATCGATTGCTTTGATTCTTTGGTGTTTCTGTGTGGAATGCTGAAGGCTTTTATCCGGATCTCCGCACACCGGCGGTCATCCAATTGGTCGACCGATGCTGCAACTTCCTGGGCTATTCCGGAACTCCCTACAGCCTTCCAGTTCTCTCTCTTGAAAGCAAAGCTGTGGAATTTAGTCTGACAGTCGGCTGCAACACCTTTCATCTTCGCCTCACTGGATTATTAGATCCAGGTCCAAACCTTCTACCCCAACATCTTGCAGTTGAGATCTCCACCAGGGCCCCCCTAACGGTGTCTATTTATCAACCAGCCCATGTGGGTCCTGGCAAATGACCCCCCCCAAAAAAACGCTTGATGCCAACCCATTGAGGGAGTGCCGTCCTCCCTCCCCTATCCCTCGCAGGTACCTCCAACCGCTTACACCCGCGTGTGTCCAAACAAGAGCCCAGCGTCTAATGGAGAGCGTCTCGATCGGTGCACTCGGCATCACCCGTGGACCCCCGAGGATGCGAGGGCCGCCGGTGACGTCCGTTCGGGCCCACGCTGCGGCGTTCGGGCAGGGGCAGATGGGGAACTGCGGCACGAGCCTCATGCCACCTAGTTCCTCTTTCAGACCATTTGAATCCATTTGAGACCAGGTTCAGACCTGGCTCAGGCTTATCAGTTGAAAACCTGTTTCCTGCCAACACCCGTCGAACAAATCTAGATTGAAGAGGAATAAAGACTGCTCCATTTTTGCTCAGGGCTGACCAGAACCTACCAAAAACGAGCAGCCAACCAACCCAGCTTGAAAACCCAACACCGGTAGTGTGGATGTAGTGTGTATCTGCAGGAGTGGAACACCCAAGATTAAGAAATCCTAATCTATAGAGTCTAGTTTTGGTCGCATCTATTTATTATCCTTAATGCCCCCTGTAAGAAACAATCTATAGACTCTACCCACTCTACCCTCAAAAAAGCGGCTTTGTTAGAATCTTCGGCCGTCCCAACAAGTCCCACTGTAAGCGCCCGCCCAGAAGTCAGACGCCAGTTACATCACCTTGTCAGAAGCTCTTCCAGTCCATGTTTTGCAGCTCTACATGGAATGAATCTTCAATTCTTTTGATCTAATTAGAACCCATCTGACCCCTGTTTTGATAGGAAAGGGTCATGATCTATTGTCACATTTCTTTTGGGTGTTGGTGGTCCAGAGAAGAGGTCATTCAGGTTCTCGGATTATCTTGAGTGTCATGATGCCAACCAATCATGCAACAGCCAGGCCGCGTGAAAAAAAAAATCCACTCATCTGCCGCCATCCGGCAGCAAGGTCAAAGCGATAAGCCAGAATTTGCGATGTGTTTGGGGCTTCAAGTAACACCCTATTCCTGAAGATCAAATGAGTCATGACTGGACTAAGATGTGGGATCAAGCGGTTTGGAACCGCTTCATCCGCACCTCACGCATGAGCGACAAGGTTTCAGGTGAGAATAGCAAGCTTCAAAACAGGTCGGTTACCAGCTTGTCATCTGCATGTATCAGCTGCATGTCATCATGCAAATCTCCTTGAACATTGCGACCGGCAGCACAACTGCGCATCAACCTTCGCAGCTCAGACCGATGACTTTTTGGGGGGTGCGAGAAACAAGGATGCGGGGTGGGAAAAGAACAAAAAAAACAGGGCCTGAGGAGCGATCCGACGCTACTAGATGCTACGAACGGGGCGCTCCTGGCCTTACTACTAGGAACAAGAAGCTCTGGGCATCGCTACGAACGTGGCCTAGTGGCCTCCAGGGCTCGCCACCGAACCAGGGAGCAGTTCCAGGGCTTGGCCGCGCCGCTCTTCGCTCTGCGCTCTGCGCGATTTCAGCGCTCCGCAAGGCTCCCGCGGCTCGGAAAGCCCGGGATGGTGATTGGAAGGATGTGAACAGTGGCTGTCGCCCCTCCCAGTCCCATGGAACTGCTGACGACGAGAAGCACCCAGATCCCAGTGGATCCTGGATCCAGTGGATTGCCAGTGGATCCATCAGTTATAATTTATATGGATTGGTCATTAGGTTTTATGGATTGGAATATGTATACAACTACGGAAAACCATAAACCAACCAACCAAGACACTGTTTCCTTGAAGTTCATTATCGTATATAGCAGCTGCCTGGGATCCACTGATATATATGTCTATAGCAACTTGTCACATATTGCCCCACTCTTTTGCATGCTGACAACCAGAAGATGTCTTCGTGCAGCGATCATGGTTGTCACCAAGTCTGTGGGATGTCTACAGAAGTGAGATGCAAACTCCATGTGACTCCTGGAAAAGAACCCTTCACTTTGCCTTGCCTGCTTCATCAGGACCTGCCAGACCCGACCACTCCGCTCCTCTCTGCTCCCAACTCGTCGGAATCTCTGCACCTCTTCATTCAGACCCACCACTGCCGGAACCTCAGTGGACCGTCAACTAACTGCGAACCGACAACTAACTGCGAACCGACACACAGTATGTGGAGGTGTGTGGAAAGTGGGGGTGGGAAAGAACATGCAGAGCAAAAGTCTGGTATCATCTGAGAAGGTGCTGAACATCTTTAAAAAAATCCAATCCCCATGTGGTGGTCCAAAGACTTGGAACGTGACATCCGTTCGTCTTAGACGCCTTTCTTGCACTGAAACGGGGAGAGACCAACTGCGGTGACGACGCATCTTCCGCTTCTTCCCGAACGAGTTGGGCCGGTGGGTCGAAGTGAGTTGAGGAGACTGCGACGAAAAGACAGAAACCAGTGGAGTCTTAGGTATTGATGGCATTGGCATGGGCCTTGAAAAAGAGTTCCTATGACATACTACAAGCAAGTTTGTTATTCCCTTTGAACACGTGTAAACAAACCATCTGCAGTTGGAGCCAGGCACACTACTTCGCTTTGCCTGATGCCAAGGTGACCAGGCAATGCCAGTTTGCAGTGACGGCCACTACTCGATCGACGTCCTGACTCCCATAGAGCGTCGGACGGTCGAGGCCACCACCTGGACCGATGAACCTCCAGGAGGTGACCTCCTCAGGTTCGATATGACTGGACCCGATGGAACATGGCACCCACCCCAGCAGTCACCCCTTCGAAACGAGTTCGGTACGACTGGAGGCCAAACGGGATCGTTTTGTTTCGAAGCTGGTAGGAGATGGAAGTGGTGAAACATGACGTCGTGGCAGAATCATCAACCTGTCTGACTGGCAGAATCAGGATGGGTATGAACTCCATCGATCTACTGAAGCCGGGCAAGTCCGAGGCACGTGCCTCTTCCGGCATTGTTCGCCTTCCCAAGATCCTTATGCTTCGACTGTTCACCACAAAGCTTCATCGCCGTCCGCGCATGCGAACTCCGGCGGGTTCCGTTGGAACCTGCGGCGTCTCACCCCGGCGTCTCGACGAAGGCCATCCTCGTCGCGACGGACCGGTACTGAGCTGGTGACGTCAATCCACGGCAGGAGCAGCACCGATTGGCCTGGCGTGCTGTGCTGGGTCCGAAACCACGAAACCATATGGATCCACTGCCACCTGTTGAGAAGGTATAGTGGTTTCAGGAGTAGACGACACAAAGCCAAATATATGGGTGTGGTATTTCTCATAGACCAAAACCTCTTGGGCCAGGGGGGGTCTGCCCATAATGAACCCTAGGGCTCCAAGGACCTTCTTAGAAGGCGTTTGGGGTGGGTTTAGAGGGTCCAAATACCTTCTAAGGAGGTACTTGGAGCCCATCATATACACCCAAGCCGATGTCTTTCCCAAACACAACCGATGGGACTGGTCTATTAACCAGGCCAGGGTGGTTGTTTCGGGGTCCGGGGTCTGGGGCGGCAGTCCTATGACAGTCCCAAACTGGTTGTGTCTGGGTATGATGCATGGTGGGTCCGGTGATTGGCCACCCTTTGAGGTACGGAAGAAAGGGACACACGTTGATGCAAGCAGTGGCGTAGGCGGTCGGGCCAGTGGATCCCTGACGGAGCCTGGAGGGGATGCATCTCACTCAGCAATGAGTACGGGATGAACTTATGCATTTGGGACCACCTGAACACCAGAACCAACTACGACCTCGGGTGGTTGTTTGACCCCCACGCTCCCCATCCGCTTGCCATCCGATCACCATCGCAGCATGGTGTTGCTGGCATTTCCTCGCTGTGAGCGTGTTTGGGGTAGGCACCCTTTACCAAATAGCAGCCCTGAGAGAGTGCTGCAAATGATGCCTACAGCACCACCATTCAGCATCGATGGAACGTAGAATTACACAGCAAGATCCTACCAATGAACACGATGCCAATGGTGAAAACTCACTGGCTGACGTTGAAACCACCGTACCACATGCTATTATCATTATTATCCATAGGTTTGCCCTCCCGCTCCGCTCCCCGCCATGTTCTTCGTCTTGAACACCGCTAACCGGATAACCTTCTTGTCACCTCTTCTGTTGGAAAGGGAAGCACAATCAGCGCGACCTGCAAGTGAACTGGTCATTGCGAGTTGATGTAGACTCTTGAGTAGTAGTCACCGCGCTTTTGCTCAGGGGTGTTGCAATCACAATGGGAGCTCAACTCGTCTCCTATTAAGTCTCTCCATCCACAGCAGGATTTCGCCTGTAAGGTCCTCTTCATGCACACATCCACAGCCCGCCCTGAGCGCTTCGAAGCCGCTAAGCCGCGGCTTCGCCGCTTCGTGCTCGGCCAGGCGAATGTAAGTGTGACATGAGTTCAGCAGCATTGACCCTGGCTCTGTCTATTCTACCCATAGGGTGGAGCATCCTCAAAAAGTGTCCTTTGGCCCCAACTGCGATACCTGTCCCCTGTGGAAGCACGTTCACCTTGAAGATTAAGTTCAGGAGGTACCTGGACCTGAACTGGGACAGTAGAGTGAAACTCTTTGAGGGATATACATAGGTCCAGAAGAAAAGAAAGGACATATCTTGACACAACCCTGTAATATAATGCCCATTGTCCGGGGAGCAACAGCCAAGGGTTAACATATGTTACAGTAAATTTATATTTAAAGACCAAAGAGTTCTGTCATGCCGTCACTCCATTATCAATATGTACCAGTGCCGACACCAAACGTGCGCACGTTTGGGGGAATACGACCATTTGGGCGACAACAGGTCAGCAGCAAAAAGGAACACTAAGAAACAACTGAAAGCCAAGTGAGCAGAACCGGACAAGAACCAATTCCAACGACCCATCATCCTATGCAGAGCGGGACATATTGGACACCAATCGGATCCCATGGGCACCCCTTCCAAGCAAACGGTGCGCCTGAATCGATTGCCACTTAGCAGTCTCGAACAAGTTCAACAGAGAAAACACAACACCGCACTTGTCTCCTTTTTTCACTGCCCATGGTGCTTATCTACTTCTATCAGGTCAGCTTCTAGGCAGGCAGTTCCCATGACTTTTCCTACTGCCTATTGATCTATGGCTTTGGGTCAAAACCTGAAGGCTATTTCGCTGGTAGATTGACCTCCCTGGCGGTCTATTCTGTTCATTTTCGGGGCCAGATGTTGACCCACAGCCGTATGTCAGTTCTCAGTACTGAGCTGCCCCACCCATGCGTTCCAGGCATCCTTCTATGTGCCGGACTCACTGATGGGACAAAGGGACCAAAGGGAACGCTTGCGATGGGAGAACGTCGAACTCCTCCACTATATGGAGACGCACATGGGAGGTTTTGAGGTGCTGCGAACCAGAAAATGGTGAACTGTGCAGTCACTGTGCTCCACCACGCATTGAGTCCCAACCTTGACGTTCAATTTGTTGTTCACGTCTTTCTTTGCCTCTGTTGCATGACGTAAAGCTGAGCCAAACCAGCGTGGTGCCATCTTTGATCAACATGTTTCGATTCTTGGTAGCTCAGCGACTGGAGTTGGTGCCTTCGTATGCCGCCTACACACGTAGAACCACAAGGCTCCATGCAAATAATCTTTCCAAGAAATACTGACAGGAGGGCTTCATGTTTCTTTCAGCCCCACACAGGTTCTTTACCTTGGACTTGCTTCGGAAACAAACACAAGAACACATGACAGAGTAGGCGGCCTTAGTAGGAGACTCATTTGGTGAGGTGAGGAACAACAAGGTCCACAAACAACAAATTCAACCAATCACCCAGTCCGCAAAACCTCGTCACCACTCTCAAGCTCATGCTTCTCAAAGCTGAACGAACGCCCCCTAAACCCCCCCGGCATCATCATCTGCAGAAAAATAAGATCTTTGGGTGGATTCCTTGGATGTCACTCCAAAAAAAAAAATCAGGACTTGCACCTCAAGATTCAATATCCCTAGGGCTCCTGGCCCATATCCTCAGGTTCGGTGTCTTCTCAGAGGTAGTTTGAGCCCAAACGGGTATTTTGACCTAGATCAGCTCACGGCGACATTCCTTTCTCACCTACCCATATATACACACTCTCTCAGTCTGGTAGTTGGGGATGTTTCTTGTGGTAGGAACAGGGATTGAGGATGCACTTGGATCCATAGATCACTGCAAGACTCAAACCGGAAGCTCTTCCAAATCATTCGACTCAAACCCCCTCATGACCGCAGTAGCGGCGCGGTCGAAACTCAAACTCTCCCCTTTTCATCCACTAGCTCACGCGGAAATGCCTGGGCTACACATGGCCACGCGTAGAAGCAGGTGAGCGGCTCGTGTGATTGGAGGAGGTGGGCATCACAAGATCTCTCCACTGATCAAATTGGATGACACGGCCTTTGAAAGAACTTTCCTCTTCAGACAGGGCCGGGGTTCTAGAGTTTGTTGCTGTCATCTTCCGGATCCAAATCCTGCACTAAGTAGACTAAGCTGGTCAGGCACATGAGACAACCGAATTCCTCAAATATGTTCGAGATATCTTGAAATCGTTGAAATATGGTCAATTGCCTTCTGAGAAGGTGGCAGTGGATCCATGGGGTTGGGTGTTTCAGCGTATTTGTGGTTAGTTCTGGCTGCGGGTCATGTTTCCACCTGCCTGACCCCTGGGCCAGACCCACCGGTACCTGAAGAGATTCCACAGGAGGTCGCACCGGTGGTGGCACTGAAACCGCGATCGAATCAACCTCACACGATCGAAGCAGTTCGTGAGTGCTTTGTAGCGGCCGGTGCGCAGATCCAGTTCCGGCTTGGCCAACGGGAGTTTTGTTTCCTTGAATAAGCCTCCGTCCTCACTGTACCTCAGGTTCGGTGGCAGTGGATCCGGGTAAGAACATCACCAAAGTCAAGCCATTGTCCAATGTCCTCGTCGCTCTGACGTCGAGGACTTCTCGCCTCTGGCAAGATCCGGAGCGACGTGGTGGACTTGGCGATTGCTGTGCTCGAGGTGATCGATCACCTGAGACAAAGCATTCTCAAGGCCTAGCATCCGGCTCTGCAGGGCTTGGACATCGGCTCCCATTTCTTGATGGAGAGGTGGCTCCCAAGTTCCCCGTGGTCTGATAGGCTGATGGGCCAGTATGTTGGCCTGGCATGTCGTCCGGCAGTTCTTCCGACATGTTCCAGCCCCATTCGTCTCCGGCCCAGGCCATTCACTTTTCTTCGATGATCCGCTTGGGGAACGCCAAGAGCCGCACTGACTTCCACCGCACCGCGCCGATCTTCAGCGTTCTGCTTCCGGATGAATCGTCGGTGGCGGACATCGGTTTAGACCGCTGCATTCGTGACGAGCGTTCTGGACGCATGGCTGGTCGCGCTCGCGCTCGCAGGACCGGAAGGTCCGTGCCGCGATTCTTCGCCAAATGAGATGGTCTCGTCCTGGTACTCCTCGAGAGTCAGGCGTAGATAGAATTCCGCATCGATCTGGTGTAGATAGAATTCCAGAAAGAACTCCAGAAGAGATGCCAAATAGAATGCCAGAAAATAATAGGTGATAGAATGCCAGGGTATATGCCTTGGTGTGGGGTCACTGGAAGTGAAGTCATTTTTGGCGATAGATGCCAAGCCTCAGGGCGAGTGCTACACACTCACTGTCGGCTACTGCATGGACCAACAGGGGGCCCCTTTAGGGTACAGCCCCAATGTATGGATTCATATGTCAGGTCCCCTGAGTCGTGTCTGGGATATATAGTACACCGATCCAAAGAGTCTGGTACATGGCTCTGACCGAGACTGCCGCGGAGCCCGTAAACCGGGCACCCGTACCGCTGCCCGGCCGCGCGCACCTGGCGGCGGAGCGCGGCCCTGATTGGAAGGGATCCAAAGGGCTGGAAGCGATGGGTAGTGGGCCGACTCCGCCTTTCAAAGCGGTTGCTTGACCAGGACATCTATCTCCCAAAGCAAGACTTCTCAGCTTAAAGATGTGGGAAATGGTCAATGAAACTGAAGGTCTCAAGGACATGAAGGACCAAGGACCTCAGCAGTTTCATGGGGGTGGGTGCTTTTGAGTCACATATTGGGGGGGCCGTGGATGTGATGTAAACCAGGGTATCACTTAACAAACACGTGGGCCTCTCCAAGTTCGACACCCCCGGACGTGGAACTGCTGGGTCCTTAAGATGATGTTCAAAAAAAAAACAACAACAAAACACTGAGCCAGGAGTCACCTGTCGGGGTGCCGAGTCCTTGGAGGTTAGGGACGGTTGCCCCTGTCACATCCACTCACCGAACTACTATAAAAAATACCCCGTCTTGTGACTCCTGGAGGATAAATCTACATGAAGATGAAACTACCGATGTCCTTAAGATAGATCTTGTAACAACAAAAAGCTATAAGGAGGAATACATATATATATATATATCTATCTACTATATATATATATATTGCTTAATGATCTACACAAACATGAAACGATTGTTGTCCTGAAGATGGTTCTTGTAAACAAAATATTATCACCGTATATACACAAAAACCAAGTCCTGCCCTGAATCGACGTCCTGGCCAGGATCGATGTCCGTTACCAGTTTGCAAACGCCGCTCCTTTTGTATGTTTGGCCTTGTTGTCATAATGTTCAAGTACTTGACAAGCTAAGCACTTATTTTCATATGATGTGAGTTGCATGACAGAATGCTAACCTAGTAACTCCCAAATCATTCCAGTACCGTGGTGCAAGTCAATGTTGCCATGTCGGAAATGAAATTGCCTTCACCAATCCTCCAAGATCCTCCAAGATACTTTCGCTTCTGCTTGCCTACTACATTACAAGAACGGCTCGTGAAACAAACACCACAACCCACTTCCGAAACCACAAGCCACGATCCCAGAGGCGTGGGTGACGGAAGTCTGGCTTGATGGAAGTCTGCGGTGATGAGTTCCCCTTCTCACAGAGAACACACACTAGGATCACATGTGGCAATACCATCCGGAATACTCAATCCCCTCGCAGCATTAGGTAGAACAGCTGAATCGAGTCATATATAGGCTTCTGAAACCTGATGCAAAAGTACAAACAATCCAAGTGCCGCCCCTCCCTTCCCTAGGGATTCAAGTGCCTTCTCAGAAGGTACGACTGGAGCCTCCAAATCTACATAACAGTGTCTCCAATCACCTTCTGAGAAGGTACGACTGGATCCCTAGGGCTTGTAGCAGGTGTTCCAAACATGTGGAGGGCCTCATTCAGCAAACCCTTTATAAAGCTTTATCATGAATACGTTGCACGTTTGCACACCACCTGATACACTCCCTGACATCATCATGGTACCGATTACGTGATGTTACGTGGATGTCATGACAATACTGAATTTGTCCAAATACCAAAGAGCTTGTGCCATCCACTTCCACCATGAATGATTTCAAGAGGAGTGTAGCAAACCAGTCTGCTCTGCTGTCCACCTTCTGATCAAAGATGGGCGACAGGATCCGCATGTTCGGCGTCTGGAATGGACCTCAAGACCGACAGCCAGCGCCGAGCTCTTCAGCGACCGTAAGGAAATCGAAACGACAAAGACTGGATGTGGTGCAACATGCCCACTCAACTCAACCTCCATAGCATATTCAAAAACTGTTTGTCTGGAGCTGGGATGGGATTCGAACGGAATCCAAACAAATGGGAATGGGATTTCCACGAAAAAGCCCTCATGCTATGAACTCTTTTCCGCATCCCAGAACTTCCATGTTCCAAAGATAGGTGACGCCTGCTGGCGACAAAGTAATAAGTAGACCGAACAACTGCATGTGAGCAAAGTTTGTGATGTTGATGTTTTATGTAACCTGTTCATCTCCAAAAAACAACTCAGCCAACCGTAGATAGTTTTTAATTTATACTCCTTGGAATTCTTATGGACGTGTAAAACCACAACCTGTCAGATTCCATGGTCATCGGCCAGGCCGATGTCAGGAAGTGGACCATCAAACCCCTTCGGGAGATGGACCCGACCATTGGTGCAAAAAGATCATGAAATCAAAGGCCTTTCCATTGCTTGGACTTGCTTCAGGAAGTGGGAAAATAACATATTCAGAAGGGAATTCACCGTGCATCACCTTAAGCAAAACCAGGAATGGAAAAGGGGTCCAGATTCTTAAGCATTGCTTGGCTTTGCGACGCAAAAGAAAGGTCGACTGATGACTGTTGGTTTCTGGCGACCTGGATGCACCCAGCGGCATTCTTGGGGATGATGTATTCTTCTTCATCCAATTCCAGAATTGAATCCATGATTCAGACTTTCCCACCCAAAATCATGGAACAGGAGATCGGATCGGTGGAATGGCCCCGAAGTTGGAATGACGGATGTCGCGAAGACCAAAGAGGTGGGGGTGTGAACGAGTAAACTCAGTCGGAGTGGGAGACCTCCATAGCTCCGGGAGAATTGGAACCTTAGGGATCCAGTCGTACCTTCTCAGGTACGGGGATTGGAGACACTGTTATGTAGGTGTGGAGGGTCCAATATGGTCCAATCACCTTCTGAGAAGGTACTTGGATCCCTAGGGGAAGATACTAGTGGGTGTGTATTTTGATAGCGAGACCTCCCAGTGCGACCCCCCTGGAATGTTCAGGACATATATGATGCATCCATACATTTTTATACAGGATGGGTGTGCAATGGAAAACCTCCTATTATGGAAGACCTCCTGGAAGACCAAACTTCTGGTCTTCCAGTAAAACGATGCATCCATATCCATCCATATCCCTACCTCCAGTCGTACCTCCTCAGGTTCGGTATGACTGGAGGCCGACTGGGAATAGTCGACTAGACTCTCAGGACCACTCCCTGGGCTTCTATGTTGTTCTGTTGAACAAATCGACGTAGCGCGGTGAGTTCTCTGAAACTTCCTTTCCCACGAACCGAAACTCCAGTTCGGAGCTGAACTCGAGCGACTCAGCATGGCTTTGATGAAGAGCTCATGAATCTCACCTTGGCAGTATGGATTTCAAAGAACCGCAATTGTAAAAATACACTGGCGAGAATTGCTTGATAGGTCTCATTAGATCTCATAGTAGTGGAGCTCATTCGATCTCAATGAATAGGATAGTGGGACACACTCAGATCCAAGCTGATCCAATATTGCTGCTGGACTGGTCACAGCTCTTGTTTTTTGTGCTTAAATATACATACCTGGACCTTCAAGGGGTGTCCAATGGAGGTCCCTTAGTAGTGTAGGGGCTTCCATTGGTGACCCCTTCGAAGGTGCTGGTATGTTTCACCTACCAACAAACTGCCACAAGGCTGTTGCAGCCAATCAGTTGTGCACTGATGCCACGTTGCTTGATTCGATGTTGACATGATGATGCTAAAATAGGCATTGACACACCAAACATGGGATCGAATCCAGCAACAATGCCTGGCGGCACTTGACAAACCCAATGGATGCCAAATAAATTTCTCTCCCAACTCCCAACGCATCAAACACATCCGTAAATTGTCGCAGGTATCCAGGCTCAAGCAGTCTCAAACATGGTCCAAGGTCCAAGCAATTCAACTGCTTTAACGATATTGCTTGGAGGGAGTCCCTCCAGCCGTAGGGTGGTAGTGGACCACCCTCTTCCTTGGTCCACTCTTAAGTTCTACGTCTCCGTCGGACTGGAAGACCCATTAAAACCTCCAATGTTTCGTAGTGTTTCGATCTACATAAATATAGGCAGTGGTTGAACCCCCAAAGAATATGGGAACAAATCTGGGTTTTGGTCTTTCTGCCAAGCGGTTTAAAAAGCAAAGATGTTAAAATAAATTGGCCCGAAACATGCAAATCTCTGAGTCTGATCCTTTGTCTGAACATCCTCTGTGATATGCCCAAATAAAGGTATTAGACTAAGAACATCTGAATTCTAAGCATCTCAGCGCCACAACAAATCAACTAAATCAACTTTGGGTCTATTCAACTTTGGGTCTATCCTTGTCATCCAAGGCCCGCTTTGGATGATGATGGGGCCGAGGCCGTTGCAGGCCTTGCTGCCATTGCTAAACCGGACGGCTCTAACTCAGCCCACAAATCAACTAAATCAACTTTGGGTCTATCATGGTCTATCCTATTACCAGAGCCTGCGCTTGGCCAAGGCCTTGCCATTAGCCAAACCGAACGGACAACCCGCCCACAACCCGCCCCACTCGACTCAGCAAGTCGCTGAAGAAGGCACGGATGGCCTCTTCGTTTCGATGCCTCGCCGCACACGTGGAACGAACCCGAACGGCACGAACGGGTCGTCCACCGGGTCGTCCACCGGAGCAGTTGGGGTCAGCCTAGGCGGGTGGGGACAGCACCGGGGGGGGGGTCCAAACTGGTCAAAACCGATGGAAAGCCGAACGTGTTTGAACTCGCAGGGAACCAACACAAAACACTGGCCAAACTCATGGGTTTCAGTATGTTCAACTATGAGTTTCTGCAAGGCCATGCTACCTTTTTGTTGAAGAGGAGCGGATCAGTAACAAGGCGAAGCTAGACTAGACTATGACCACCTGGAGCCTGGGCACCGAAGGAGCTCCTTCCTCGGCGTATGCACCGCGACATGATTTCCTGCCAGTGATTGAAGGGGAATGACACCAGAGGGGGAACTTATCCATATACCAGCACGCAAAACCTGCCAGGTCTCCTAGCCTTGGAGGGTTGGGTTGGGTGGGAAGGGCCCGAAGACTAACAGGTTTCACCAACGGTGACCTGTTGGCCGGTGCTGGTATGGAACATCCACAAAAGCGCTCCCCAACACCAGGACGTTCCGTGTAAACGCTGCTCGGATCGCCCGGCGTCTACCACCATCGACCTGTCAGCCTGTAGCTGTCGGCGTTGGCGCACCCACCCATCGACACGAGGAACTGAGGCACCACACTTGTGCAGCAACATCATGCGGACCTCGCGAGAGACCAAAACCACCAGCGCTTGCATCTTGCAGAACTGGGGGGTGTAGACCTTATGTAAATTAACACACACACACACACACACACACACACACACCTGTAGGGTATTGAAGGGCTTTACGATCATGTTGAATTGTGGGTCTTATGTAACTGTTCCAACACACACCTGTATACAAGAAGGGTTTTACTTACTAATGACGTTCCTTTGGACTTTCCTATTATAGGGAGGTCTGATATCAATGGGCATCTCCCTCTTCATCCTCCCAGTGTCAAAAAGAGAAGAGTGTCTAGAGTGTCACATAGCTTGTTATTGGCCTTTTGAGGACCCTATATAACTATCACTTTACTTACATGGTGTTTGAGGACATCTACATGGATCTAATGACCTGGAAAACACCACACGACACCCATCCGCTTCACCGGACCCATACCCACTCCACGTCCGACCGTTCCACCGCGCAGCGCCACGGAGCCGAGCGACGTGGCCCGCGGTGCAATAGGCCGAGACGTGGAAGTCGTTGAACCTTGGCGATATAGGTCCGACCGATCACGGGCGCCAGTCCAGCACGGCCCGGTGACCGGTGGGTGTTTTCTGGACCTAACATGTAAACGAGACCAAACAGTATACATCGGGTGGAAGATGCACCAACAACCTGAGAACAGATGTATACAACAACAGATGTATACAACATGCCATCTGATGTGCCAGAGCGATCTTTTTTTGTTATTACCCATGGGTTCTTTTCCCCATTGGTTGGTCATCTAATTCCCTCTCAATGGTGACCCATGGTGGTACCTTCACTTTGAAAGATGCTGCCCTGCTGACGGTTAGTGCTAGACTTCACTTCCATGGATCCAGTGCCGCCCTGAGAATGATGCTTGGAATGTGCGAACCATGGGAACGACGTCAAATCGATCGATCCAATCCCTACACCAAAGGCAGGATAAGGCCAGTAGGCCAGTTGTCTTTGTTACACAGCTATATGGACATATGGTGAAGAACTCATGCGATTCCCCACTAAAGACTTTGCTAAGGCCTGAAGGATTCAAGGGAGTTTCAGGTCAAAGGCATGAAACAAAAAGAAGGTCACCCTTCCATATCCTTCCATGGCTGGAAGAGCCATGGCCTGTCCAGTGGATCAACAGTCCGATTGGCGCTTGGATCGTGAGGTCAAGCCGCTTGTCCACCACTCGAAGAAACATCGAAGAGGTGCTCCAAACCATCTCATCCACCTGGAAGCTCACGCGCTGAAGCGATCACGCGTAGCCGTCGAACCAGGAAGCGGTGAAAAAGCCACATGGTTTTGGTTGGATACGATGACACCAACGGACAAAGGGTTGGCTTGGTCGTCACCAACGGCAGTGCCAAAATCACAGTATTGACCAGTCTTTTGAGCACCATCAATGCAAGTGGTTGATGCATTAAGACCCAGGAGTGAAGATATACAACCATTCTGAAGATGAGGGGTAGCTTTGAATCCTTCTCGGTATGAAATACAAATTTTGTCAATTACCATCAAAGAATTCCAACCACCATTGCATCAAATCCGTTGGTTTACTGATGTTCACCGTTGCAGAACCCTATATGTCAACCTATCGCATCTTCTAATGGTCCAACGAACGGATGCTCTGGGACCCAGATTCCCGTCCTGAACCCCCGGACGAACATGACAGTTCGAAGTCCACCAAGTTCCATGCACACCTCAGTTCTTGGTTTCACTCAGTTCCAGAACACCGAGCTCGGACGGGCTGAGGTCGGGGCTTCCTCAGTTCTTTTGCTTGGCTTCCCAGATGCTCCGTGAAAACAGCCCGACTGGTCCCTCAAAACCTAGGGAGTTGAGACCCCAGCCCTCCAGAGGATTCGGGCCCAGACCTCGCGTCTGGGTGAAGAGAATAAAGGTTAAGCTTCTTTCCAACTGTTGGATTTTGAGAGGGGGTTTCACCGACCAATCTGAAAACCATGGTTTTTACATGTTTTCGGGCGATCCACCGTATATGATAGGTATATGGGCGGCCCGGCTGGTTCCCTTTCCTGCCATGCCTCTCCTCTCGCGTCTCGCGTCTTGCAAAGCAGTCCAAATCCATCGAAACATGAAGGGGGGCACCCCACCCCCAAACCGACCCAGTGAGCCACGTGAAAGACCTGGAGCCTGTGGAACGGTTCTTTTCTCTTTTGGAGCCCAATCCAAAGGGTGGAAGGGTGCGAGGGGGGGCGACATTGGGTGAAACATGAAGGGGAATAAGTAGGGGGCTATTTGTGTTTCACATGAAGGGGGAAAGACCCCATGAAATCCGAACACCCATTTTGCCCCCTCGTCATGTTTCCCCTTCATGTTTCACCCTTGCCCCCTCGCCCCCCTTCACCCAGTTTCACCCAGGAATCATGCCATCCACGTTCGCATGATCATTTCAGTGAGTGTCCTCCCACCCCTTGTCTTTTTTTTCCGGCCAGGGGTGCCGGGCTAAATCCAGGGCAGCGTGCACCACGAACTGGTCCAGGTGAGGATTGTCCTGCAAGCATGTAGCTCACAAAGCCCAGGCTCTGTCACCCTCTATCCGACACTGGCAATATGGGGCCACCCCGTTCTCTACAGGTTCAGTCCATTTCCACAATGCGGAAACAAACATCTTGTGCAGCAACCCACCTAGCGGCGCCTAAGGGCCTATATAATATAATAGCCTATATAGCAAATGGATGAGTTGTTACTCGGTCACTGTTCCTTTCACCCAGCTCCTTTTCCAGATTCTGCAACCCAGTGCTGGATCCAGCGGGGATGACTCACCCATCTTCACAGAAGAATGACCATCACATATGTCCGAAGCATCTTTTGTGGACCATATCTATTTCCCCGATGTATTAGACGATCGAACCAGGCTCTTGGAGCTTTGACCACGCTCTTTGGCCGCTTTGACCGTGAATTTCGGATGTCAAAGACACCCCCTTCCCCTGTAGGAGTGACCTGAACCTCGAAGGGTTCATTCATCCAAATCCAAGACATTCACCTGTGACTGCCGGCCTTGCCACCAAAAAGAAGTCCAAGGACTTTACTGTTCCTCAGTCAAGTAGGTGGGAAGTGTCCACGGCCTCGTCTGTTCTTATTCTATGCCCGGCCGCAAGGAGCGCATGGAATATGCCATAGATGCGGGGCTTGGAACCAATGCTCCATCATGTATCCCGGATGGGCTCCAGGAGGTTACCTCCTTAGAAGGTATGAACCCTCTAAACCCACCCCAAACACCTAAGAAGGTCCGGCTGGAGCCCTAGGGTATAGTGATCTTCGCGCGACCATGGATGATTTGGGGCGCTGCTTGGGACTCCCAATGGGTGCCCAAGCCTCCCCCAATTCTGGCACTCCCGTGCCCGCCTCTCGGCTGCCCTCGCTACTTAAGTCAGCCTCATAGATGGGTACATCATCCTGGAGCATTGCTGAGCGAATCCGTGCGGAGAGCGACATCGGTGAGACTCCGTCCCAAACCCAGAACAGTAACAGTGAAATGACCCGAACGCATTGATAGGACATAGAACCTACAGCTGTTTTGATAAGCATAGACTGCATGGAACCTGATGGAACCTGATTGGAGCTAAGAAGAGCTTCCAGTCATGTCTTGTCTGATCACATTGTATAACTAGGGGTCAAGTTCCAGATTCCGACAAACACCCACTCCGAGTCCCCATACCAACCAAGTCAGTCAGCACATTCATAGTCCCCACCAAATCACGTCCTCTATGTGGATTCTTAGGGCTTCAAGTAGATTGGGTTCAAAGGGTCCAAACACAACAACAATCTGGTATCGTTGTTTTTGTTGATTTTTTTTCATGGTAGCCATCATTTAATGATATTTCCATGTCTTTGTTGATGCTGTCATCATCCGTGTGTTTTGCTGGTCATCTTACTTTCATCATTCTTCATCAAACATGTGAGCCAAGGTCTGGCGCCGCACTCTCGCAGCAGCAGCGCGAGCAAGATCCAAAAAGGTCGCCATCGTTGTAAGATTCACACGCACAAGGAGGTCCTGCCACGCAGAAACCATTGAACATCATTGAACCATTGGACCATCTCTCGTCTCTGCGCCACAACTTTCTTCCGGAAGAGACAGGCGTTCATCTGCAGGGCAGGAGGCTCCGAAGAGTGCATGGAACCTATTCTCCACTTCTCAGTTTGCACGTTTCATGGCCCAAAAATTAAACCTTCATGGGTCCGTGCGGATTCCAACTGGGAAGTCTCGCATGCCCGTCTCAGCCGTGTAGTACGAAGAGCATCCAGCATCCATCGGCGCGTTTTGTGCGCCGAGAAGGTCAAGATGGGTGCACGAGCCTACTTCCGTACGCGGCAAGCACGACAGTTGCTTCCGATGGGAGCACCGCAGTGCTCGCGCCTCCCATCCTGAGGAGAATCCACCAGCGAGCTGGGGCACCTCGATTCGACGTCAATGCACCGCAGTGCTTCCTGAAGAAACGATGACGAGAAGGGAAACACAAAAGGAAATACACTTTGGGGTAAAGCCGTTGTGAAGGCATCTCCAAGTGGCCGTTGTCTTGGACAAATGCTCCAACGAACGACAACCACTTCAGTGAAAGCTTGCTCCATTTCGGCGTTCGTGCCAGGCACAGAAACCACCTAGTCATCATCATCATCATCATCATCATTTGGGTCTGTCCTATTACCAGGGCACGGTAGACCATGATGGTTCAGTCAAAGGCATTGTTCAAAAAGAGTGATGTTCTTGTGTACGGGTCCTGTTACAGGTAAGAAATGACAAACCCAAGTCATCATCATCAACACAACATCATGGATAAGAGATGACAAATGTGAGGAAGTCCAGAATCGCGGGCAAAGCAGTTGCTTTACAATGTTTTACATCATGGAGTCCTATACAGCCTCAACAAAGCTACTTAGTACTGGATGACACATACTTTGACCTCCTACCCAACAACCTCCAACGACCTGTCTACACCAAGTGGATAGCGGAGACTCAACATAGCCTTTGGGAGACTTACATCATGTACCAATGACAATAAGTGTCACATGTTCAATTAGCAGCCCAGCAATAGTCGATCAACCACCTGTGTCACCATTGCTCCCGTCCGATGGATGTCCACATATTCTATATACTATAGACTGGGATCCAACCAAATCAAAGCCCCCATTCACATAGCGATGTCCATCCTGAACACGAAGAGAACAGCCAAAACTGCCGGCTTCTGCCATGAACAGAACCACCCTTTTCTGCCAAACAGAGTGTTTTGGGTTAGAGCCAACTCCTGCAACACTTGGCTGTCCAAATGGTCCTTTCCTGCCTCCCTGGTGCCTCCCTGGTGCCTCGTTCGGCCACCTGGTTCCAGTCTCTTGACTCGACCAACATGTGGAGTCTACTTGTTCCATCTGTTCCCACATATGGTATAGTGGATTGAGAGTAGATGGCACAGACCTCAAGAGGTGGTTTATATGAATCCCCATGTGTCTAGGACATCTTGAGGTCAGTGCCATCTACTCTGAAACCACTGTAGTACAATTATTGATGCAACAAAGGAACACCTAGAACGAAAAGGGGCTGACGCAACATGCTTGAACATTCCGGTGAAAACCGGCTCACCGCTTTCACATTCGTCGCCTTCCCCACGATGATGAGGATGTTAACAATGGCCTTGGAGCCGTGGAGCTTGAGGGTGGATAGAAGAACCAGTGATCAAGATAAAATATCTATGCATACCAAAATATATATATATAATATATATATATATATATTGATGATGTAAATCAGCTACATGTACACAACATATCTATATACACATATCGGTGTATATATATATATATCAGTAAATGGGAATACGGGTGCATATAATATAGTTATACATATTGGGTTTATCCCATTCCCTGTAACAGTGGATAATGATGGTTCAGTGCAGGCCTTTCTCTAAACTAGTAACCACTAATAATTGCTTAATTACAGGTAATAGGACACCCCCAAAGTATACAGTGAATTCCACTTCAGTGGCTTTCACTTGTCACTTGTACTTTGCTTACTGGAACTGTTTTACGTATACTATAGTTTGTGGTGCTTTTTATGAGTGTCAGTGGAATCAACAAATAACAGCTTCCGTTGCAAAAGCACCCTGTGACCGCATAAAGAATGTATATAATATATATATATATGTATATATATACTATATGTTGCGAATTTTGGAACCTCATCAAAAGCGGTGAAATAGTCACATTGACATACATGTTCAGCTTCAGTTTTGGATGCTGTTGCGGGGCTTGTTGAACCTAATCCAGATGCATTGATCACAAATTAAGATTGTATCGCAGGTTTTTCCTGTCATCCTAATTCCAACCCTCTCCCCTCTCCACCATCAATGCGCGCATTTCTCAGGTGCTCGCTTCCAGCTTAGTGAGCGGTCGGTGCGCTTCCATCATCGAATGCGCCCCGACCGGTGCGGCGATGCATCAAACAACAAATGCACGACTTCCAACACTTCCAAGTGGTCGCTTTCAGCTGCCTGCCGAAAAGCTAACTCCCACTGGCCTGTAGCGGCACTAAACAGTCAAAGTAGGTCATTCTCGTCAACATCAGCCTCAAGCAAACATTCAATGACTTCCACGTGGCCGTTTTGAGCTGCAATCCTCAAAGCTGTGTCCCCGTTTTTGTCTGCTGCATCTTTGTCAGCTCCAGCATCAAGCAACAACCGAACAACTTCCAAGCGGCCTCTGTTAGCCGCAAACATCAAAGCTGTTGCCCCATTTCTGTATGCTGAGTCCTTGTCAACTCCAGCCTGGAGCAACAATCGCACAACTTCCAAGTGGCCACTCTCAGCGGCAATCATCAAAGCCGTTGC